CAGAGCCTTCTTTTCTCCAGACTGAACAACCCCAACTCTCCCACCCTTACTTCACAGGAGGGATGCTCCAGCCCTTTGATCATTTTTATGGCCCTACTCTGGATCCACTCTAACAGGTCCATGTCTTTCTTGTACTGGGAACTCCAGATCTGGGGACAGTCCTCCTCTCACAAGGGTGGAATAGAGAGGTAAACTCACCTCCCTCAACATGTTGGCCACATTTCTTTTTATGCAGCCCAGGATACAACTGGCTTTCTGTGGTGCAAGTTCACATTCCTGGCTCATATGTAATTTCTATCCACCATTATTCCCAAGACCTTCTCTGCAGGCCTGCTCTCAATCAATTAATCAATTAAATGCTCATAAATATATAGAAATAAAGAATTCTAACTGTGCAATAAGATCAAAGAAGCTGTGAGAGGAGACAAGTAATAGTAATGGGTATGTCCAATTATCATAGACTATATAAATAATGTTTCTTGAATATCATATCCAGTTCTTGCCATCTCATCTCTGAAGAAATACTGTAGAGTACTATGTAGAAACAGAAAAAGCATTGAAGTGTTATCAGAAAAATATGATCTATAGGAAAAGATACTAATTACTGTGGAATTCTTCTGTTTGGTAAAAGAAACAACCAAGAGATGATTTGACAGAAGTTTATAGCATCTCGGACAGGAGATGGTGAATAAGGAATGTTGGAGTCTCAATTCTAAAATGAAAACAAAGGAACAACTTACCATGCAAATAGCACAAAATGAGTCCAGGAAAACGTGGACTTTTTTTGGTTGTTTGTTTGTTTGTTTGAATGTTTTTATTTATAAACAATTTGATTAATGCTTTCCTATTAGACATTATGAAGCCAAAAATTAAGTGGTTTAGAAAAGAATTAGTTAAATTCCTAAAGGCCAGAGCCTTTAAGTATGCATTATCTACAACAGCTTAGATGTAACCTCCAGCTCAGAAGGGCTCTGGTCCAGATACCAGGTGAATACATCAGTTAGGTTTTAATTATTTACCATATACTTTTCTATGTTTACTACATCCTGGCTTCAGGCGTCCACTGCAAACATCAGCAAACACAGATACCGGGCAAGATAGATAGAATGACTATTTAGTCCCAGTGTGTTAAGTTCTGTGTTCCTATTTCACAGTCCACTGCAGGTAGAAGTGAAGAAAAGGGTGTCTTTAGATGGTGAAAGAGCATTAGGAATCCATCATGAATCTGCAGTGAGTGAAATAAACTCAAAACGTGCATCAATGTCCTATGTATCTCCGAATGTAGCAGAAGGACAAACAGGACAGAATTACACTCCAAGGCTACAACAGATGCAAACCTGCTCATCTCAGAAGTTTGCCATGTATCTTCATGCTCTCAACAGGCGGCTGAAAATTTTTTTTAAAAGGGAATAGAAAAAGCCATGCAATTGTTTCAGATAGCTTTACATCTACTTTTCTAGGCAAACGAATTAGCCTCCAAGAACAGGGACTACCTTATACTTCCCTACCGACAAACTGGAAAGGATACAATGAATCTACAAAGATTTTGCCCCAAAGGTGGCTCCTATTGAGCAAGTTTGCAGAGAAGTCTGGGTCCACCCACCTAACACGGTGGTGAAACATCCATTGTGTAATATGAGGAGTTGTTAGGTCAAGGTTGGGGCATATGGAATCCTGGCAGCCACTTGAAAGGACTTAAAAGGGGCCAAAAAAGGCATGAAGTCGTTGTGCTACATATTCCCCACGTACAGAACATGGCATGCAGGGTTTCTTTTCATGGAAATTTCAGCTCTGCAATGAGAGCAGAGGGAGCATGCAGGGAGTAAGGGGAAGAGGCAGAGATTATTCATTGGAGCTGTATAGGAATTAGATTGTTTGTACAAATGTGTTTGACTGAATGAACAAGGAACTACACAGCGACTGGCAGGATGGGTTGGGTTTGTTTTCCATTACCATGCAGAGATGCAGGATTCTCATAAATTCTCCAGCTATTGTTCCCTGAGGCGTTGGAGGGCTTTCCACTGCAGGCTTCCTTTTCCAGCAAACCATTCAGCCCCATTTTCCTTCCTTACATAAAAGACAACCCCCAAGCCATAAAAACAGAACAACAGTTCAGCCAGGATCTTAATAATTAACTATTGAGGTCACAATATACTTACTTCCCTAATCACATGCAAATTCAGGTAATATATTTCTGGTTGAGGAAGATTATGATAAGGGAATAATAAACTGATTACTCAGAACAGCGAATTGAAAAATGCCTGCTGTTAAAACACAGGTAATATCTTTGATGTTTGAGTATACAATAAGAAAAGGGTTGCAATGATTTCATAACTGTATTTTGAATGTAAGCAGAGAGTTGTAAAATGTGACTTACAATATTGAGATGCTTACCTCTCCTTTCCTGACTGTATAGCAAACATTGGTGAATCATCACTCAGATATAGAGGCTGAGGAGCTGGAACTACTTACTGGGAAGCCCAACAGAGAGGAGCATGTCATAATTGACTCCTGAATCATCAGAATGATGATTCCTCTCTTGCATATCAGAACCTAGCACTGGGGAAGGTAGCAGCAAACTCCTTTTGCACAGTAACTTTGTGGTTGAAGGTAGTGATCAGGAAGCTGAAGACCTGGCACTCACAACAGCTCCTAAGTCTTGAATCACCAGGCGACAGGATTGTTCAATGCTTTTTACTACTCCCACTGCAGCTGGACCTCATGCAAAAGAGAAATGAAGATTTGTAGGATCAGCAACTGTCGAATTTATAGAAGCTTTGATTCTATAACCCAATAAGAAGTGGATTCCTTTGGCAGTGCAGAGCTGTAAGATATGACCCCTGCTTCCAATGTTCATTGCATATTTTGTTGAATGATGCTTAGGTGGATATTAAATGAGTCCCTAGTGCAGAAAATCATTCTGCCTGAAACGATCGTTATAGTTGCAAAAGAAAACCACTGTTTATCTCCCCTATCCTGTCAACAGCATGTTACTCCGGAAGCTCCTTGAAGTGGTCTTCAGATCATAATATCTGCTCTGTGGGGTTATGGTATGATATCATGATATGAAGCAAGTATTCTTGTATGTATAAATCCTGTCCCCAAAAAGCAGCTTCTGCAAATGCCCAGTGAAGTGCAGAAGACAGGAGGAATGGATAGCTGTTCACTAAGTATGTGAGTACTGATCATAATGCAAATGGGCTTCATCCAAAAGCCACTGAGCTGAATAAAAGTTCTTCCACAAGCTATTTTTCCTGATTAATAAATCCACAGCAATTCAAGGCCCAGCAAAGTGATGCATATCGAAAATATGAATCCAGATACCAAATTTGCATATGAATTTGAGTATCTCCTTTTAGTACCTGCCTAGATAGAACACAGTCATACAGCCTGGAAGAAATTGTTTGTGCTACTCACAAAAGGCCAAAGAAGAGACTAACAAAAAAAATCCACTGATTAGGAAAGGACTAAATTGAAAATCCCTTAAAGTGTTCATCAGTGTTCTCTATCAGAGACTGCAACTGCCTGCCTTTAGCTGTGAAGAACACCAAGCTGAACTTGCACACCTTTCAGATTTGAAATGGTACTTATGAGGATTTAAATTCTTAAAATGACAATGCGTTTTACTTCAATTCTGAATCAGCACTGTCCCATTAACCCAGAAGGAGGAATCAGCTGACACAAACACAAAACTCCTTCTCATTATCTCTGCGAAATAATACAGCAAAGTCAGGAGGAAACATCTTGCCTCACAGGTGATATAGCTGAACCTACAGAACTTCTTGAGGCCTGATCAGCTGAGCTAATAGCAATGTTATCATAACCACAAAGCTCTTAGCATATGGAAGGAAACATTTATAGGAAGAAATAGTAGTTTTTATTAGTACATATATTATAATTGAAAAAAGAAATGTTTCTTGGAATGCTAGCTCACCTCTAGGTCTGAAACCAAAGCCTTTTACTTATCACATGGTGGCAGCTCCAAACAAATGCTCTTACTTTGCACCACTCTATTTACAGCAGAACTGGGGGGTGGGGGGGAAATGGCTTCTCTTTCTCGACACAACTTATTACTCAGAAAAAGAAAAAATAAAGAGAAGAATCTACATAGTTAAGATTAATTATATCATGCATAAACAGCCAATGAACTTAAAAGAAAATATAGTAATTTAATACTTAGAAATAGAAAAATCCCAGCAGACAAGAGGCTTGTGCACATTCACAACATTTCTTTTCATTTCCTGTTACCTGCCCCACTCCCTTCTTCTCACTGCACCTTGTGAGCCCTTGGGTTTTCTTTCAGTGATCTATCTTTTTCCTTGTGGTTCTCTACAGCCTACCTTATCTATCCTGGTAATGTTCTCTTCTTACCCTTAGAATATTCCATACTGAACTTTAACATTGAGAAAGGTGTCCTGGACTTCAACATTTTTTCCTCATTTTTTATTTACTCTTCTATTACTGTCTGGGTTTTGTTTCATCTTAGACAATACCTATTTCATGCCAGTAGTGAAAAGGTAGAGATATGAAAGCTCCTTGATGACTCTTAGATCTATTTTACACACTCACAGAAGTTCAACAAAATTGCTCTTAAGATTATAAGTTTCCTTCCAAGGTTTCCAAGCCTGTCTTCTTCTGATAACATTTTATGCTGTTAAATCTGCATTTCCTGCCTCCAAGTTTTGCCTCAAGCAATCTGGTACCATTGCAAGATGACTGATCTGTCACAGGATCATGAGGAGGATATACTGTTCTTTGTGGGTAAGCCAAAAAGTTTGCAAAAATACCAAAGGGCCGTATTTGGACTGTCTTTCAAGCCAAATCCGTGAAGGCCATTGAGAAGGATATTGAGCTACTTCAAGTCTTTCAACACATTGGACTGGAATCTCAAAAAGGGAACTGGCATTTATTTATTGCTAGGTTTGGGGGTTCATTTTCATCAGGTAGTTGGAACCTCTTTCATTTACCTGTATCTTTGATATTTATTAATATTTGCCCATTTAATGGATTTCTGTGATCCCCAAAGATTGCTGCCAGGAAAAATAATCATCTGATTTCAGGTTTTTGAAAAGCTGAATAGCCTGCATTTTTGATGAAGCCATTTCCTTGCCAGTGATGGATTCATCATCAGATACAGACTTCCCAGGTGTTGTCTTGCCTTCAGAAAGTTTCTTGACTTGATGGTCTTCCTGATTAACATCCATCTTCCCACTGGGTTTTAAGCTGTGGAAGCAATAATCGCCAACCTGGCAAAGGAAAACTGGCTCAGTGCTGTCAGGGTTTAAGACCACCAGGTTACTCTCTGACAAAGGCTGCTTTCTAGGAAGATCATTTCCCTTCTGCAAGACAGGCAAACAAATCTTTCTGGGTTCTGAATGTCCATGGAAATTTACATCTACGGGGACAGCAAGATAGTCTCCAAATGTATCCAGGTGCAATTCAGGAGAAGAGGTTGGTGCTTGACCTGAAACTGAGGCCATGATGCCAGATTTCCCAGGAGAAGATTCATGGCCAGAGCAGTCACTGGGGTGCTGAGGCTCCTGTAAGTCACGAAGTAGCACCCCAGTGGTGACAAGTGGTGGATGAGTGGAGCCACTGGCTGATGGCAGTAACAGGCTCTCTGTGGTGATGTACTCCAAGGGGCACTGCTGAGGAGACATGATACAGCCAAGAGCCTTCGGAGATTTTTGCTCTTCTCTTCTCATATTTGTGCCTTTCCCACAGGCTGGTGGGGCTGGTGAGACTTCTTCCACATCATCAGGGTGCTGCTTCATTTCCTTCTGATCTGGGAGCAGGAAGGGCTGTGGAGGACCTGCTCCTGGCTGGTTTTGCCTCTGTGGAGCCTGGGGATAGACTTCCTTTGGTAGGATCATATACTGAAGGGAAACTGATTTCTCACGGAGTCCCACTGGGTCCTTTACCAGGGTCTGATGTATATCAGGCTGGGAGGACATCACAGGGCCGTACAAGTATGGACCATTGAAAGCCAAGCAACGGATTGCTGCCTGGGAAGCAGTACCTGCATCAGCACTATTTCTCCTTGAAACAGGAAAGGAATGATGAACAGCCTGACTCGAGCAGACAATTGGGGCATGCTCTGGCTCATTTAAAGCATGGTATGAGTTCTGAAGGTCCAGCACCATGGGGGAAATATCTGTCTTTTTAGCCTGCTCTTCAGGGGACTCTGTCAAAATCTTCATCTGCCTAAACGTGGGAAAGTTAAAAGTTGCTCATGAGAGTTGCTTATTGTGGTAAACATCAAATATAAGACAAGCTTAGTGGAAAACACACATAGCTACACATAGGGTTAGGGAAAAATCTTTCTTGGAGAAACAGTCTACCCCAGATAACAAAAAATTGTATCTCCTACCCAAAAGCAATTTGTGTAGTGTTTCTAGTGACAGAACATTTGATTGTATCCTGCCATGACTTAGGGAGCTCTTCAAGACTATCACCCACACTGTCACTATAATGTGCTGTTCACTCACCTGTCCACAACTTGAAGGAAGCTAGCCTGTTCCATCTTCTCTGAATGATTGCATTTGTTGAAGTCCAGCTGGCTGTTTGTTGGTCTGTCTCCAAAATGCACTTTCTGAAAACGAAAAAGCAGACATGACAAAAGAGCAGTGTCTCACTGGCAGTATAATCAAGAACCATGGACAAGGAAAACGAAAAGGAGAGCCTACAGCGTCTGACAACAGGGATACAGTTTCACTAACATGACTAGAAGATGTGTTGTGTTTTCCAGAAGACGCTTACTTCAAACCTGTATTGTCTTACCAGTGACCAAATTACAAGTGCTCAGTGAGATGAAAAGGAAAGATGCCCTTCCAGTCTTGTTATTTGTGAATAGAGAAGGACTAGTGGGAGACGTGATGGTAGGTGGCTGTCTTGGCCATGGTGATCATGAAATGACTGAGTTTAAAATTTTCAGAGTAATAAGAAAAAAAGGACAGCAGAGAGCAAAATTTAAGCTATTTGGGGAGCTACTTTAAAATCTCCCCTGGGAATCTACTTTTGAGGGCTTTTTGAGGGAGTCCACAAGCGCTAGCCAGTTTTTAAAAGCACAGAACAGGCAATTCCAGTGTGTCATAAGTCATGCAAGTGGAGCAGACAACCAGCTTGTCTGAATAGGGAATTCCTTCTGGAGATCAAGAGGAAAAAAGAAATTGTATGATCTCTGAAAGCAAGGTCAGACTACACAGGAAGATTACAGAGCTATGGTTCATATACACAGGGAGAAGACATGAAAGGCCAAAACTCAATGAGAGTTGAAGCTAGCCAGTGTTGTATCAGACAACAAGAAGGGCTTTTTTAAGTACATTACTAGGAAAAGGAGGTCTAAAGAAAACATTAGACCAATACCTGTTGTTGATGGTCACCTGATTAATACAGATGACAAAAAAGCAGGGGCATTCAATGGATTTTTTTGCCTCAGTATTTAATAATACTGGTAGACCTTTGGCTGCCCAGTGCTCTGAGTCAGAGGACCATGAGTGCAGGAACAGTGGCTTTCCATTTGTGGACACTGGAATTCTAAGGAACCGGCTGTATCAGCTGAATGTTTGTAAGTCCATGGGGTCTGATAGGATTCATCCCAGAGTACTGAAAGAGCTAGTGGATGTTACAGCAGGACCCCTCTTGATCATCTACCAAAGGTCTTGGGAGTCTGTGGTGGTCCCTGCTGCCTTGAGGCTAGATTTCTTTGTCTAGTAGTAGACGTCTTTGTCTTATGCTTGACAATAACACAGTTCTGTTGAATATGACCAGAACTTCTCCTAACAATAAGGCATAGACTAAAGAAGATTCCTGTTCATTATGGAGACAGTAAGAGTTCTTAACATTATCTGAAGACCTAAAATAGAGAGAGAAATAATGAACCCTTCAAGGTACAGTTCCTTCTTACCCCCAGGTAGCTCTGGATCAGGATACTCTTGCTGGGGTTTGGAATCTTCTCCTCCCACATTTTCTTCCTCCTTCGAGAATACAGAGTTTTCAATATTTGCTTCTCACCATTCAACCAGAACAGACTGCACTCCATACACCATACTGCTCTGCACAGCAAGGCGCTGCCAGCTCCCTGCCTGCCACCACCCAACTCTCACCCTTGCATAGATATGTACAAGGCTGCCCATTGCACACCAAGGCTCATATCTACATAGACCTCTCTCTCATGGGGGACAAGAAGCACCTCAGCCTTTATGCCACCCACATGGTTAAGACACTGCTAAATCTCCTAGACACAACACAAGCATACCTGAGAAAACACTTATAGCTGCAATAAACAGCTATTAGCAAAGTGACGATGAGAGCTGGGAGCATCACTGGGAGAACCACTGGTGGCAAAACTGAAACAGAGGAAAGAGAAAAAGTTATTCACCTGCAGAGTGGCTGCCTCCCATAATAGGTTTTTCACTCTGGTCACTCTTCATGCAGGCAGATTAGGGAAATGTAGATGGCATGTCAAGGGATAAGATCATGAGGCCTTCAAACTGTTGGGATACCCTCCAATGTGGGACACACCAAACGTGGCCTGAACAGCTTACTGTTACTTACTAATGACCAAAAGAGTTCATTATTTCCTTTACTGATACTTTTTTTTTTTTCTTAACTGACATCAGAGTAAACAATTTATACTACTACAGGTACGGTTAGATACCTCACTTCCATGATGAACAATAGGCATGTCTTCAGGCATCTTAGGTTTGCCTTACTCTGTACAGTCCCAAAGAAATGGGGTCTCAGAGATTTTCCAAGAAACAGCTTCCTCTGCTAATGGCCATAACTGATCATCAACAACGAACCAATTTCTTCCTGAGCACGCTCATCAAAATTTGCCTACTATCTTTCCAGGACAAATCATGTAAAATCATATTACTTTGTGCACAAAACCGTATGATAGCAGACATTCTGCCTCCAAGTCCAGAAACAGAAAAAATAAGTAAACATTTTATCTCCAGGAGGTTTTACTGTGTGTTTTATGCAATCTTATAGTCACTCTACAGTATAAAAGACTGATGGCTTATATTCTGTCTTCTTGTAGTCTTGGGCTCTTCAGTCACTGATAGGAGAAAGGACTACTCGAATCAGAAAACAAGGATGATCTTTTGGACAGAGTCTTTACTTGACTCTCTATGTGGAAAACTGTACTCACCTTGTACAAGGGAAGTAGGAAAGAAGCTTAGGTCATGCCTGCTCGGCTCCTTCATTTGCACTGCTGCTGTACTGCAAGGATGCAGACAGGACAGCCACCTTGTTAAGCCACCCAGATAGCTCATGGCTGGACCTAAATTTAACCCCCGCTGAGAGAATGTGGCTTTCTATAGAGGTATTTCAGCATTTACAGTCCACAAAACCTTATTGAAGCAGCCTACATGAAAAGTACCCTTCTCAGTCTTCCAGGTGAAATCCTCACTCCATTCACTCCAAGGTCCCTCATAATCCAGAGGTGTATTCACCCTTGCACGCATTTTCCCCCTATATTCTGTAGATGATGACAGCATCTGCAGGGTGAAGATGAAGGGAGGTTCATCATTGTTGATATTTAACTTCTGGAGAGTCTGGGAAGAAAAAAGAAGCACAAATGGCAAAGGTGAGAGAAACTGTCTTTCTCATTTGTCCAGTAAAGAGAAATCCAGAACTCTTGCACTTTCAAAGACTTACCTTTTCATATTGGTTATTTTCCCAGTACTCAACTTGGTATCTCTGTTTTATGAAGTCATATCTCAAGGTATGTTTTATCCACCTCAGTTCATACTCTTTGTTCTCTGTCACTGTCATTGACACATTTGCGGGCGGCAGCACCTTAACTGGAACACATGGAATGTCTCAGGGTATTTATCAACATACTGGTGAAAGCGCTCCCTTTCACCACTGTGGACAGTTTCCAGAGGCTGAAAACAATTTTGTTTCACGCAATGTAGGAAGTCTCAGCTTTTTAACACTTCTTAATGCTCTGCATCTTCATTTTCTAGTTAAATACATAAACCAATAGACCATTAAATAACTAATAAAAACTAATTTTCAACCACTGCAGGAGCATTCACAGCTTTAGTCTGTGAAAAGTAGCACCACATGCCTCCAGATACATGCAGGCAGAGATGATCCACCTGGCCAACCTCATTCAGCAGAGGAGCTGTACCCCATCCAGTGCTTCCAGAACCACTGCACAAGCCCAGAATATCTCCACTGGCTTCTTGAGAAACCACATAGTGACATGGTCCCAACAAACACTCCCACCACAGCTCCCTGTCAGCTGGGACACCCATAAAGGTCAATCACAGGGAAGCCAGCAGGGTAACAGTTGCTCACTGAGGAGCTCTGTGTCACAACCCAAATCTCTGCACAGCAGTGTCCATCACCACCACCTTCCTCAGTCACAAGTGCCACTGAGGAACTCCACACCTGCAAGCCATCTCTCACAAAGCTTTGACCTGACACAGAGTCCAGTTTCTTTCTTCATCAGTTCCAGTCTTTTCCTCTTCCAACCTGCTTCTCCTCACCACCACTGTTCTCAACCACACTTGCCCAGACAGGTATCTCTCCACGAAGACCAGCAGATGTAAGAAACAACACAGCAACTCACTGTTCTTGTAGGCTTCAATCACTTTCTCCTCTGTCTTGACTTGGACAGACACATGGTACTGGCTCTGACTGCTGGCGTTGCTAACAGGGATCTCACAGTTTTGGACCACATATGGAACATGAGGCAAAACCTTCTCATGCACAGGAGAGCACTCCTCCTCTCTGACGGAGAAAAAAAGTTTGTGCTGAAATCAGGGGGAATGGGATAGAGCAGAAAGTACATGTGAGAAGCACAGACATGCTGCCGTGGGCCAAGCACATACACTGATGTTGGAGTAGCTCTGAAGAACAAGCCAAAGAGGACAGAAGTGGTGATTGCTTTCTTCACTTCCCAGCTGCATGTCAGAGTATCTGCACCATTGAAGAGGCAGCGAAGGTTCCTGGGCTGAAGGTCACCTTCAGAGAAGATGAGAGCAAGGTATGTGACAGAGAAGGTCTGGCTTCTCAACCAGTGCTTCCACCCCTGCACAGCCCTGTTCCATCCCACGTTACCTTCAGGGGTCTCCCATGACACCTCCATGCTCCACTCGCTGTACTGCCCAGAGAAGCCACTGTCTTGCCCTGGTCTGGCTCGCACACGGGCAACATAGCTGCTCCCTGGGACAAGGTCCTTGTGGCTGAGATGGCAACGTGTGGTGTTGGAGAGCAAGAGTGAGGCAGCTTTCTATTGTTGGGGGAAAGGAAGGATATTTGGGGAGTTGGGGAATGGAATAGTGGAGGGAAGAGAGGGAAAGGGAGAAAGGAGGTGACTGCCACTCTGCACCTCCTACCAGTGCCGCTCATGTGGTGGTCCATGCACATGCTGCCGTGCAATGCTCCTTACTCCCATACTAGAGGGGCTTCAGTATGCATGCTGCCAGCATGGCACAGGAAGGGTGAGGCACAGGCAGTGCCCCAATCATGCAGAGCCCCGACCATCTTCTGAACCAGAAACACAAGTTCACAACTGATAACTGATCAGTGCAGAATTCTATGGCAATCTGACCAAGATGCTTCTCTTAAAAACTAAAGATCATGCTGACAGGTACAGAACAGAAATGCACACAGATCTAGGGAAACAATAGGGCAAAGAATAAGGACTCTTAAAAACTAAAGACCCAAACATATCCTTCTGAAAGGGGAAGCAGCTTCAAATGCATTTTACCGTTTTCTCACAACCCACAAGCTACTATTGGAATGTGATTTAATTCCATTTGGGAGGCCTTCAGGGCAAAATCAATTCCAAATCAAACCCCAAGCGCAGTGCTTTTCTGTCAGTGAAGAACAGATCTTTGCATTCAGTTCAGGACAAATGGTATTTCACTGGGTAAGTCACTTGCAAACAGAAAGAGAGCCCCTTCTGCCTGACATTAAACTACCTCTGTGGCATGTCCTCATAATGCCTGAGAATGGAAAGACCATTCATTTGCACCATTTCTACCATAGGCTCTCAACTGCCCAAACCAGCACAGCCCAGCTCCTCTGCTCTTACCTCCCAGGACTCCCAGTCCCGCTTGTAATTGACTTCATATTCCAGTGCATTGCCCAGCCCTTGGCTTCCATCAGCTGCTTTCCAGGCCAGCAAGAAGTCTCCTGATATCATTGAGCTGACCGAGAGGTTTTGAGGTGGGAGGGTCTGAACTGGGAAGGGGAGGTACAACCCATGAGAAGAGATGATAGTGAAGACAAGGACATGAAGAGGGGAAGAAAACACCTAGGTAAGCTTCCCTATTTCCGGAATATCTTATCCCTGCCACACCAAGTAGCTCCTGCTTGAGTGCCCCTTCCAGGTCCAGCTGCTCCCCAAATCTTGCCTTCTCCCGTCCCTGCCCCATCTTCTCAACATGGAATTCTTTGGCAGTTTTCACAATGGAAGTGGAATTCACTTTCTGACTGAATGGCAAAGATCCCTAATATTCATCAGGAAAATAAGAATTTGGTGTTTAATTCTTACCATTCGTGAAAAGATCAACATTTAATTCTGCTTGAAGGATCTTGTTCGGTTTGAAGCTGTAAATATCATATACTCCTATTCCAAAATTGTTTGTAGTGTTGCGACAAACCCAGTGCACATAGGAATCTGGAGTCTCATGAAAGTCATTTTCTATCTGGCGTTTGCAAAACATCTCGTTGTTCTCCCTGTGTATAGAAAAAGCGATCTATAAAGATCAAGTTGAGACCAATAGTTAATGCTAAATTAAATGCCTGAAACCAATTCCATTCCATTCTGTTATAATTTACTCATATCCTCTTCTCACTGTACCTATTAGTGCTCTTTTGCTTAACACCTTCCCGTTTCAAAGTTCTGCCGCAGAATGTTATCTTTTGGTACCAGCCTATTTTTGTTATTTTTTAGCCTAACTCCACGTAATCTTACAGGTTTTGTGTGAGGAAAATAAAAATAATGTCATGGAAATGCACCTTTTATCCGGAGTGAAACACAGTCAAGTTTCTGATGATCTTTATCTTCTTAAAGACATTCATTGTGCAGTTCCAGAAAGGCACTTAAAAAACTTTTTCCAGCCAGAATGTACTTCTGTATCCTCAGTAGTTCTGTTCTGCCAAGGGAGCTTAGGTATTCAGTAACAATCCAGCCAGAACGTTAATCATTCTTTTAGATAGCCCTTCTCCAGGCCAACAAGCATCATGAAAATTAGAAACAATATTTTAGAATAGACAGGAGGGGATAAGCTTTGTGTGCTTGCAGTAGCCTGAGCTGCTGGAGAGATGCATGGCTTCTTTTGTGCCCTCTGGAATTTTGTTTGTGCTTATGGCTTCATGCCCAGTGTATTGTATTGTTCCAGTTCAGATGAGAAACATTAAGTTGTGAATATCTAAGGCCTAATATTGTCTTCCAGGATAAGATGGAGTCTCCTAGCCAGCTATATGTCAGCAAGCGTTATTCAGCACTATTGCTATTTTTAGAAGTTGGGTATTAGCGAGGAAACCAGGGATATATTCCTGAAGTATGGGTGGGACTGACCCTACATGTGCATACCCTTTAAAAAAGAGTCAGCCCATGGGTTGTGAAGTCCTGAAGATATTTCTGTCTATTCATCAGCATCACCTGATGGTTTGGGATTTAGTCAACTATTTTTCATCAGGAGCTGACCTTGTTTAATTATTGGTCATTTTGATTTCAGCTGTGTGACTGTCCACATTTCATATCTGCTTGTCTGATTAATTCTCTTCAGTCATGTTTCCTGTGTGAGCCACACACTCCATCATGTAACAATGTTCCAGAGAATCTTTCAAAGGTCCAAGTAATTTTATATGCTTTTCATAGAGGTATTAGCTTCAAGGCCCTGTTCCAAAGACCTTCCACTGGTCTCAGATGCTTGTAGGTCTATTAATTCTCTCTTCTTTACAATAAAATCAAGAGTTCTTTCTCTTTCCTTTCCTTCCTGTATCCCTAGACTCAAATACATTTTCTTCTCAGCTTTCCTTCTTTGTCTTCCTTTCTCCCATGACTATTCCCCCCTCTCTGTCCTTCCTTATCCTCACAACCAATACTGTCTGGTCATGTGTTTCCCTTTTTATAAGGAAACAGATGTAACAGAGAGATACTGTCATAAACGGATCAGTATCTCTGGGAGGAAAAGTGATAGCACAGATGATCTTACCAGTCTTGTCTATCTCACAGACTCACAGTCTATACATGTTTCTCGGAGGTCATCAAAACCATACTCTTACTGATGCTCCTAAATGGGCAAACCAATAGGGGGAATGTGTCCCTTTTAGATTTATAAACAACACTCAGGCTTATACTTGTTCTGACACCATCTTCTCCACCCCATTAATAGCAACCTATATGCCCCACTTCGTATCTATGATCCCACACAAAATTATGGGAAAGTAACTGTAAAGGTAATTAAAATAACCTCACTAGCACACCCTATTCATTCCTCCCTTCCTAGAAGAGGACTTACGAGCAGGCACAACTTTTACTTTAACCCAGTGACAGAGAGAGGTGGCCACACTTCCTGAAAATCTGACTGTTGGTCCCCAGGATTCCAAGTTGTGACTAATTTCCCTTTGGACTTACATCCAGCACAGTACAGTTCAAGTACTTACATTAAAATATTATCCCTTTGGTAAAGAATCATACCAACAAGGGCATGAGCCTCTGAACGCTCCATCCATGTGCAGGTCACCTGTGAGTCGTAGTCATTGTAGCAGCTTAAGCTCTTCATAGGGATGCTCTCTGAGAAAGGATTCAGGCAAAAAAGATGCAGTGATTGCAAATGTAGATAGTGACATTTTCTCTGAAGGTAATATCTCTGCTGCATTATCAGATATGGCCTCTAGATGACAGAGAAGTCAACATGCACACATGAGTGTGCTCTCTCAAATAATTTTTCTTGATGAGAACTACTATCAGCTTGGTTGAGGGGCTTTTTACAGGCAAAAAAAAACATCAGAGAAGTTTGATGGTGTCTTAGCTAGCAGGCATAAGAGGGACCTTACTTTGATCTACTACTGAAAACCAGTGCAAAGTAAGTTCTGTGGCATTCCTTGCATAACCAGAAAATTGAGCACCCTACATGAAAAGGAGTGGTCTGAATGTAAGGCTAAGGCTTGGAATGCCAAGAGACCAGTCTGACCTACACTGTAATACATTTTCCCTCAGATCTCAAAGTGAAATGTCCTGCAATTGACAGTGGGACAGGCAACATAACTCCCCCAGCTACTGCAGACATCAGGTATTGGCATCTGTCTTGGAAAAAGTAGAAGTCCATGAGGCACACCTGACAATACTTCTATTCTGATATCTTTAGGATGGGTACTGGAAAAGAAAGGGAAGGGAAGGGAAGGAAAGGGAAGGGAAAGGAGAAAGAACAAGAGAAAGAAAGAAAAAGAGAAAGAGTGAAAGAAAGAGAAAAAGAAAGAGAAAAGAGAAAAGGAGAAGCATCTCTCATTGTGTCAGAAGAGGAAAGACATTAAACTCAGAAACACAGGCAATGAGTGTGGCATATGGTTTCCTTATCTGTCAGAAATTCCACAAGAAGAAAATCAGGTCATCTGGGTGCTGCTGTTGGTAGCCCACCTGCATCCCAACCCTTGTCTTGTGTCTGTCCACTTGTCTCTACTCCTGTATATCACCATCTGAATCATATAGCCCCTCATTTTCCAGTGTTTCCACTATCTTCTTCCTTCCTAGTTACTTGTTAGCCAGTCAACTTGTTCATCTCATCTATTAGTCTGGTATTTCACATGTCCATACCACCAATATACAACTGACTTGTCTGCACATGCATCTGCTACCCCCGGGTTTTAATTAAGATGTCTGTTCTACAGCATAGAAGATGGTGGTAGAAGGAAGCAGAAAAGCAAGCAGAAAATGTTTTAAAGAAGAAGAGAGATACAAAAAGAAAGGCAATAATGGGTGGATAAAAGAGAATATAAATTTGAAACTCACCTCGAGTGTCTTGGACACTGAAGACCAAATACAGATTAAGGAGAAGGATGAAAATCTCTTTCATGTTCATACTGTCCTTCGTGTACAAGCTTGATCCTAATTCAGAATATAATAATTTGCATTGCCCGCTGGTTACTCTCTTGCTCTGCTTATGGTGGAGTTTCTTGTTTTCATTTCACATAAACAGAAGTAAAACTGAATTAGGGAACTTTTTTAGGCTTCATGTTGGAGTGACATTCAGAAAGAACTTCTACCAAGTATTTATTGTAGGACAAAATCCATCTTCTCCTATGGCATGACCTTGCAGTACAAGCAAAGAATGAAGAAGTAAATGCACATTTTCAAGGAAGTACAGGGATTCTTTTAGCTGAGTAGCAACAAGAAACAATCCTGGAGAGAACTCAGCCTTCAAATTGATTCATCCTGCTGCTCTTCATGCCTAAAGCCTTCCCAGTGAACAGCAATGGTGTTCTGGTATTTTACCTTTCCTTAATAATCTGATTCCCAACCACATAGCTCTTGGGAAGTATAAGGGTTGAGTTTCCATATTCATTCACTTTCAGATTTCTCTTCAACATGCTAATTTTCCAATTGCTCCCCAAACAAGTTGCAATTTGTAGAAATAATATCAGGGTAGGCTGAGTGGTTCAGAGACCATGGGCCACAACATTCCATACTGGAATTTCAAGTCCTTTTGGCCATCTCTCAAAAGTGTAACAAACCCACTTACTCAAGTATGTTACGGAGCTGAGACTCTTTTCTGCTTTAGGGGAGCATGGAAAAAACTCCTTTTAAATTCCTATTGACTTCCACATTCCTGAATGCCTCTTCCTTACACTAGAACAGCTGTCTGAGCCCTTGAATACTCATTACAGCTAAGAAATCCTGTAATGACTCACAAACCCTTGTATGACAGCAGAGTCTCTGCCATTTTGCTTTACCCAGAGAGGAAGCAGCATCCTTACCTGGATCCAGAGGTCTCTGTGAGGCAGGTGATTCAACCTGGCAGGTGACTCTTCTTGTCCAGCCTCCCCCCGCAGCATCAGAATCCTCTGATGCAAAAACCAGGGAAACCACAGCTCTCTAGAGCTGGAGACAGAAGGTATACACCGACCACAGGCTTTTCTTGGCAAGGAGGTCTTCGAAATAACTGTTACCTCTTCTGTGCACCTCAGATGTCACTTTTACAGAAGCAGACCACACCCTTTCAAGGAAAGCCTGTGTAATTGCCTGTGAAATAGGAAGTCTGTACTTCCTATTTTATAGCCCCCAAAGCACTACTTAGATGGAGCTGTTTAACTGGGAAGGGAGGGGAAGGAAGTTTGTCATTGCCCATCTGTATGTTGACAATTACCAGATCATGGAACTAATCTATTTTAAGATAAAAAAGAGGACTGACTGCAGCAGAAGTGACAAAGACTAAGAAAGATTTCTCTGCTTCTTGCTCTGGTGCTGTTTCTTGCTTTAATCTAGGCCAGACAATCTTCAAGGCAGGGGTCATTCTGAACTTTATGTTTATTTGTACGTATATGGAGGTGTGTGAATTACCTTTATCTCTGCAACCCTTTAATTTGACTAATATTTTTAAAGTATGTTTTACCTATTTCAACAACAATTAATAGTAAATGATAAGTATTATAGTATATAGGTGAAAAAAAATAAAACTGGTGAGAAGAGTTGATCTGAAGTTGTCCAACATCCAAGGCAGCCACACAGTTTTAAATCCGGCTTTATTAGAGTATCTGAGAAAATTAGATGTCATTGGGACTATCAGGAGACATGAATATAAAAACTGCAGATGAGGAGAATATGCAACTTCACAAGATGGGCAGAATTTACTTTGCATTGCAGTATAAAGGCAGAAAGGAATTCTTCTGCTCTGATTTTCATAGGCCAGTAAGTTTACATATGATGTCCCCCCACCCTTAGAAAAGAGGTTTCTTGTTTCCCTTCCTTTCCTTCCTCACTCAAGCAGCTCCTCCATCTTCAAACAGACTTGCTGAGTTGCAGGTTACATCACAGGATCTAGCTGTCAGTGAAAGTCTTCAGATGTTATTGGATCTGTTGAACCCCATTAATCCTGCATACCAGCAGCTTTTCAGGCCATGCATGCCAATTAGGTTACAAACTTACAATGCATTATACTCTTCTGTATCACAAGATGCAACAGGACTGACATTATCATTGTGTATGGCTTCCTCTCCTTCGAAACAGCATTGTTACAATGCCTTTCAAGTGGGAATTTACACTTTGTAGCATTTTAGTAAAACAATGTCAAATATAACCTTCCATCATCGGAAAGAAGGAAGACATTAATCTGTGTCTCTTCTGAACATGTGTTATCTAACTCTGAAATTTAATATGCACGGATTCTTCAGGTGGAACCTTTCTACCTGGAAAGCAGATGTGGCCTGTAGCACATCTTACAACTCTCTGGAGAGTGCATTTTCTTATACAAGCCTATACAGGATTGGCACACTGCTAGAACCAAGCGCTTAATGAAGTGTCAAGTAAGAAATGATTTATGGTACCCAGTATAATAAATGATACGCTTATCTTTAAATATAAACTCTTTCCTTTATTTCCAATACACTTACATGCATAAATGCAGGGCTACTAAGAATATTGAAGCTTACGTATATAAATAAGTTTATGTATGTACACCAGGAAGCAAAGACAATCTTAAAGGATAAGTCACCTTAAATGCTTTCGTCGTTGTTGAAGATGTTACTTGATAAAGTTACAGGTAACATCTATGGAGTGAAAACATTATTTTGCCAGTGCTGGGAGGGACATGTCAGTTATTCATGCATCGTTAGTTACCCATTTTTTAGTACCTTCAGATACTTGTTAATCTTTGCTTTCATCTGTACAAATTTTAGCAGGAGGCGAAGGACAAAGATTTTTTTTTTTTTAATGAGGAATTGTAGCTTAATGCCACAGATGCTAACAGTCAAATCCAAAGCATGGTGTTTGAAAACTCTTTTAACTAATTTTTTACTGATTGTATTTATGCTTTGTGGCATCTTTTTAACACCAGAACTGCATGGTCGTTTTAAAATACAGTGTTTTGCATATCATACAATTTATGTAAAGCATACATAACTTGGAATTCTTATGAACAGTAGCAAATTTGTTCAAGAAGAAAATACTGTAATTGTATGACCCTTAAAGAAATACATAGAGAGATAGATAATTTCAATAATGAACTCCTCCTTAAAGAAAGATGAATTGGCAACTTTCAAACTCTTATTCAGAATTATCTCACTCTCAAGCAAAAAAAAAAAACAAACTAAAAAAAAAGAAAAAACAACCAAAAAAAAGGGCAAATTATTTCTTTCCCCCTCAAAAAATCCTTTTTTAATAGCAACTGCTAAAATATATTCATAGGTAACTTTATTTGTTGAAGAATCTGATACAGTAATTTCTTGTTAGTTCTATTTTGCAATGAGGTGTCAGAAAGCAGAAGGTAGGAGAGAATAACTTGTTATTCGAATAGGCATCACACAGATTTCCTCAGAATGCAGAAATAAGTAGTCTGTACAATTACAGAAAGGTCTATGAGGAACACCATAGGTATACTAGGTTTGAGTCACAGAATTCAAAATACTGGTCAGTGGGAAGAAGAAAGCAAAGGCAGGCTGCAATTTCTTCACTGAAATATGAAAAAGTTTTCTTGATGCTTTCAGAACTATCTGTGAATACCCGCTCAGGCTCCCACGTGACAGAAATAATTACACGTTCATAAGCACTGGCACACAAACCTTCATACCAGCAAGTGAAGAGAAAGTTATGGCAGGCTAGAAAAAAGCTTATGAAGACATTCTGGACAAATCATCAGCTCTGTGAGTGAGAATAGAGATCAGAGCACATCTTGGGACTCAAGACGCTAAACTTCCATTGCAGCCTAACACTCACTTGCTTTGTGAATACGGCCAGTGATTTTATGCCTCTATTCCTCACTTTCTCTTGTCTTTATGTAGCTGTCTCTACTACAGAGGAGTCCTAAAAAGCTGAAGAAGCTAAGTAAGTACAGATTTTATATTGAAAGGTAATATATTACTAAAAATTGCTCTTTTCATGATCCCTTCAAAGGCTTGTTAAAGGAAACTGTCTGCAGAAGGACTGAACAGCTACCTGCTGGAACATCTCTGTACAGCACTTACGTTGCTCTTACTATATGAGTAGCACTTATTTCTGGACTAGTGTTGTAAACACCCCAGTCGTCTTTGTGAGAGATGTGCAACTTCCAAGGGAAGAAATGCTTCTCAGAGGGCCTGCTCCTGCTTTGAGACACCATAAGTTCAATATCCTGATCGGAGAGCAACCGAATCAGATCACCCTCAAGGTCCCGGTAATTCAAAACAATGTCATCTCGGTCAAACTCTTGCCTGGTAGAAAAGAAATTGATTGATTCCCAGAAATCAAGGAATTCCTGGGAAGTGCTTCATGATGAACAATATACTGGCAATCTAATTCATTCTGCTAAAAGCCACACAAAGCCTTGGGTGTCATGCTATTCTGGGTACAGCTAGTACTAGAAATCATACAGCCACATTCATGCCATATGGTGTTTAAACTAAGAAATCTGTCAGAACCAAGAGCCATTTCCAGTAACACCACATGCATGGTACAATTAATCTGTGAGTTTGACAGAACTCCCGTACATAAGAGTTGACTATAGTTACTAACTACTTTTCCCTACTTATGGTTGCTTTTTTTGAGGGGAGGGCAGGTTAGGGAATGGAAGAATATTAGTATTGTTATTCCATTACTAATATTTGATGTTTTAATGTTTTGATGTTCAACAATAGATTGACCTAGTTTAACTCTAGTTTATCAAGTGTTAGAGGTAGTGTCCTGCATCCTGAAGAAGTATATTAAACACAAGGTTCTTGCATGGGGGTATGGCTCTGATATTGGAACAAGAAATGGAAACTTCTACCTAGCATAATAGAGTTAGAAGTGTGTGGCATTCCATACATACTGACAACCCCAAAGCAGACTAGTGTCTGCAGAGACGGCCCTGGGCCAGGTCGAAGTACAACTTCTTTAGGACGCTTCACACCCAAAACATGGTGATGACTAAGTAGAATGTGGAAAATCTAGGATTGGAAGGAACTTCATAATTGTTCAAATGATATTAAATATACAACTAACTGCTTGCATTGTACCTCATCAATTCCATGAGATCTTTGAATGACGGAATGCTGCTCAGATCTTCTTCCACTGAGATATCCCTGTAACAAGACCAAATCTAATAATTACATATCATGAAAAGAGAATTGATGTCATTTCTTCAGCAGTAAACTGGAAAACTATCTTCTTACTACCTGATAATGCTCACAGTCTCATCATGGAAATAACAGCGAACTTTATTAACTGTGTCTTCCTGCTGCGGTAGATCTTTTATGATCTTCACAAAAGCACGGGGGAAAATCCCAGTGGCAGCACCAGCTGTTCCCTGGAATGATAGGTAGTGTTAGAATGAAGAAAACCATGCCGTTTTGGACACATACAATAAATTTTGGAATTCAATTAATTTCCATGGAAACAACAGTAAGATTTTTTCCTACTATAATCAAGAAAAGAAAAGGCTATGGAAGTGACCTGATGGCATCCCTACAAAAAGATTATACAATTGTTTAGTTAAATAGAAGGTGGGGGAGTGAAACAGTATGTAAAAAATTGAAGTCAGATGGTTACCAAGGAAGGCTGTGGTATTCAAGCAAGCAGAGATACCATATCAGCAAACACACAGTATGTTCTCATCATTCTTTTTCGGAACACTGTTGCATTGCCCAAGTTCTCTATAATCAGGCTGATGTGCGTTGTGGTATGAAGCATGAAGTATACTGCAACTCACCCTCAGGCAAGAAACCAATTAATCACTGAAATGGAGTTTCCATCTCCTTTCTGTGGCCTTTTTGTGTTCTAATCACTTCCAAAGAATTTAAAAACATTCCAGCAGAAGTAAATGCAAATGAAAACTGAAATCTAGAGGGCAAAAAATTTGTAAGCTAAATACAATCAAGGAAGGAAACAATTTCAAATTTGGAGTCAAGGATTTATTCTTAACAATAAGACCTGATTATGATACAGTTTCTCCTTGAGAGGAAAAGACAGGATCCAAGGACTAGGGGAGCCCTTTCTACTCATATATTTCAAGGTATACTGATAATACAGTGCCGCTACTGCAGTCTTACCTCCAACCAGTCTTTGTTTACTCTGCTGAGTAGGTAGATCAAGTCTCCCTTCTTGAAGCTGAGTTCCAGCTTACTGGTTCCAGAAAAATCAAACAGTGCCTATGGAAAGTAGTAATACTGGAATTATTAATTCACAGAATTACAGAACTGAATCATTCTTTCTGTTCTGTTCTTGAGGTGAGAGCATAAAGCAGCACGATAGTATGCACTTTGTCATCACAGATGTATTTCTGAGGTAAGGTCATATATATGTATGACCGTAGCCTGCAGTTCTCACAACTTCTACTCAACACACACAAAAATGCTTTGAAGAAGTAATGAAAGCATTAGGATAAACATGGCTCTGAGAGATCTACATGCTACCATTCATAAAGTGGCAGGACACTGAGCAGCCGAATTAAAAACACTTAAGAGCAAGTAAATCAACATAGCTGAAGACAACTGACAAAAGAGCAAGTCAACATAGGTGAAGACAACTGAAACTTGAAAATGGGAAATCCTGAGAGTTGAAAACGTATATATTATTTCTGGTTGCAGTTTTACAGCTTTCAGATTTGCTGCCAAATATCACAAAAAAAATTTGCAGAACTGTTGTGGTGGTGTGTCCTAATTTAAGAGTAACTAAGTGTTGGTTTTACATCTAGCTTTCAGGTCTGTATGCTGAACTGAGAGATTTGGGGGAGGCTGCAAAGCTGACTTGCAGTTAACATGGCACTTAGGTGCCCCCTTTAGGGAAAAAAAGAAAAAAAATAGGAGGTAAGCACGTGCTACCAACCTAACAAGCTGCTCTTGAATAATGCTGAGTTATGAAAAATGTACATCTCCCCCATTGTCCTTAGAGAGCATAGTAGCCATTTAAATGCTCTTAGAGGAGCAAAAATGAAAAAGTGGTCTTTATTCTGTGTCGAGATGTTTCTTTTGAGCTTGTTACTGCCAAGAGTTCTAATAAAAAAAGACAATGGCTATTGTTGTGCCAGTAGTTCATATGTCTACTTAATAGCTCTTTCAAAAGCCTTTTTTCATCTATTGAAAAGTTTTGGTAGGCATACTCAGTATTAATAAACTAACCACTCAAACCTAAGATATCTGACTGATCCAAGACCTGCCATATTCAGTGTAAAAAACAAACCCAACAACTCTCAAACCACTTGCTTGGGTGTTTTTTAATCTTACATGACAAAGCCACCTGTTACAGGAAGCAAGACTATGCTCAGATAAGTACTGGTTACAAAGCAGTTCCAGGGGCTTAATATCATGACAATATGCAGCAAAACACAGGGGTATAGGCATTTTTCAGTAGAACATTTATGTTACAGAAAATACTAAGATGCTTCACCTGCAGAGCTTTTAAACACATGCTGGAGACAATGAGACGATGGAGCCTGTGCTTGGTTTAGATTTAATTTATGGGTATCAGTATTTACAAGTGGACCACTTGGCAGTAAGCTCTACGTGTCTCTCAGTTTTGAACCTCTTGTCATTCTGACTTCACAATGGACCTTCTTACTCCTAGGTAAGGAGGAACAGAACACTTCTTTCCATGCTTTGTTTCACTCCCTGTTGTTAAAATCAATTGCTTTCCTGTGTTGCTTTCACTTTCCCTTCTTTCCCCAGGCTCTAATTAGAAAAGGGAACTTGATCGATGAGACACCAAAGTAAAACAGAGTTTAATCTCCCATCCTATGGCAGATTGTGCAGAGTACTCACCTCAGCCCGTGGAGCTGCCATGCGGTCAAAAATAGGCACTTGAGGTGAAATGCTTTTACTGCAAAGAAAGGAGACAACAGGGAGGTAAATACACCTTTCTAGTCATCAAAAATACTGCATGGCCAGTAGTGCAGCGTCTGCATTTTCATTATTTAAGAGGCAGGCAAGCCATAGATCACTGGAGAAACTGCACGAGAATCTGTGTGCAGCACTGAAGTAAATAAATATGGATGCAACAACCTTGCCCTAGTTCTCTCAGTTTCAGTGCAGAGCAACAGCAATCTGATGATGTCTGCTGCTGAGAACAGATGGAATTTTCAATACAGTCAGTATCCTGGACCTCTCTTCTACAGCACTGCTCAGCCCCCTTACTGTGCCTTCTGGGCATCCCTGTTTCTAGCATTTACGACATTCGGTTCAAACTCTGCCATCATGCAAACATCCAGGAATGCATACACTCATGAAGTTTTTGCCCTGAGGTAAGCATAAAGGAAGCTGGTCCATCTTAGCTATGTTAAAAGGAAAATTAATTTGACTGAAGGGTAATGGAGTATGATGTCTACTTAGCAGTTCTCCAAAGGGGTGTAAATGCTGCTATGTAGGACAGGCCCCTGTTTAGACAAAGGACAAGAACAAATCAAGCATTCTGTTTCATTTAGTGTCTGAACCAGTTCTCACTGAATTCAGTGTTAAAATTCACATTGACTTCAGTGGTGCAAGCCTATGTTCATTGTCCTGGGTTCAGCTTGGCCTGTATATTCTGTACATTATGATAGATATTACCAGTAAAGAATTAGTAACAGATAGAGCTGAGCAGCACTGTTTTACAAGCAAGCTATACACTCATTTTGGAATTTTCCTTTACTGCAAAGTACTGCATCCACTTCAAATATTGTAGGTTACTGAAAACAAGAAATACCTTGTGTTCATTCTAACACAAAGATCCCCATATTAGAATTTCATGGATTCACTTGGGAAACCGAGTGGTGACCCTTATCTCTCTCCTTCTGGGCAGCATCTCTTACATCAAGCAATGCTGAAAAAACACGTCAATCACTTCACTTACATTCGGCGTGTCCGTGGGCGAAGCCGCCTCAGTCTGTGAGGCACCTGTTCACTATCAAAGGTTGAGTGGTAGAAGAACAGCCGTACCTCTTCATCCATCAACACCCAAACGGGTAGGCAGAGTAGGTTCTGTGCCAAGAGCAAGTAGGAAGCAGAGTGTAACAGTGGGGGAGACCAATTCTCTATTCACTTACATGTAACAAATATGCCTCTCTGACCTACAGGATCATGAAGGATATTAACTACTGCCAGAAATCTCCCTCCTCTCCCTTCTCACACAGCAGAATGTGGCTGAACTGCTGACAGTTTCTCCTGTTTACTCCTGGAGTCGGCCAATCTATTGCTTCACTCTTTTTGTGCTTGATTTACTGTGGAAGGAGTAAATTGCTCTTATGTTTCCTTCAGAACATGAATGACTGTGGAAAGAAAGCAAGTACTGGAAGTCTTGACCAGTGCTTAAGACTTCTACTGATTTAAAGTCAGGTCTTAACCTGCACACAAAGAATTTCTCTGCTTGATGTTACTGGCTGTGTCTTCACTGTAGATCAGGTACACCTGGTAGCCCAAGCCACTCTCTGAGTCCCTTAGGTGCACATACCAACTCCACATTCACACAATACCTGCAGACTCACCATTTGCTCCTACATCCTTGGGTTTTGGCTTGGTTTTTTTTGTTTTGGGTGGTTTTTGTTTCTTTCTTTGTTTGGGCAGGGGCGAGGGTTGTAAGGATGCCTACCTATATATGAAGGCAAGGAGCAAGCCTTTATAAACTGCATAATCCAACAGATCCTGCAATCTGAATATTCTAGGGAATAGGACTGAAAGTTTTCCTGCAGTGTCGATGCTGTGTCTTCAGGGAAAAAGATGCAGAGAGAAGCAGACACCTAGGACTAGCACAGTACTATCTCTTAGCTGATTTCAGGGGGTAAGTATCTGCAGCACTCAGTGAAATCTCTACCTTAAGATTAACTTTTACCTTCATGTAGGCATTTAAGATAGGAATCCTGTTCTCAGCAATTTCCTTTTTGGCCCCAACATAAACTTTTCCTGGAAAATATAAAATCTGTGACAGTTACTGAATTAAAAAAAAAACAACAACAACAACAAAAAAAAAAACAAACAAAAACACAACAACAAACCCAAAACCTCAAGCAATCCGGAGAAAGTAGAATCTCCAGGAAAATACGTATTTTCTAAAGGATTTTAGGTTTCTAAATGAATTTTACTACAAGTGGAGGGACCGCAAATGGAGCTTGACTTCTCCAGCATTCACAGCTGGGAACTAGTTCATTGTCACAACTACTTCCCTACAGTGTACTCCTTTTTAGAACAGCCTGGAGCTGATGAAGCTGCTAATCATGCACAGATTTGGTGCTGACAGCTTACCTGGCAGTATGGGAAGTGTGCAGGTAAAAGGGCTATTTTTGTTCTCTGCCCCATACTTCTCCTCCAGTTTGGTGTGTAGGGCATAGAACTGACGATAGCGTCGGAAGATCAGGTATCTGCCACCACCTTTAACCTTTACTTCAATGACAAACAGCTGAAACAGAGAATGGGTATTCAGGCTAATGTTCACAGTTGTAACTACTTAGCAAATTAAAGTAAGACATACAATAGGAACATAAGATCAGTGCTCCAGTAGTGGAAATATTGTCTCAGAGGCAGAATGCAAAGCAAGCCATTGGTTGAGTATCTGCAGACTCAAGCACTAGCAAATAACAAATTAGCACCAGTGTGGTATATGTGAGCGTTCCTATGGATCACATCCCTGTGGCTGTTTTCTGTTACATAACCTTAAAAGGAAACCTGAAATGACTAGATGCTGCTTTACACTTACACACCTTCCCTCACTGACAAACAAAACACATTAGGGAGGTAAATACAAATATTTTACAGCAGGATGCTTTGGACATCTAACTCTATAGGCAGACATCTGAATGAATTGATTTTCAGAGAAGAAAGCATTCATACTTCATCTTGACTTTAAAGTACACTATTTCAGAAAATATGGCCCAACCTCCTCCAACCACTGTCTTATTTCTTATCTCTTGCCAAAATTGCTTTGCTCTTAAAAAAGCCCATGATTTCCATACACTGACCTCTGAGTCACATTGCAGCCAGATCCTTCAGAAAACATAAAGACAGAGCAACCAAGCATCACTATATTCCAGAGTAAAACATGCATACTGCAGTGAGAAGGTTTTATGAGCAATGTCTCCAGCAAAAGCAGCGTACCCTGCAGAAGTCATACTAAGCTGGTCTTATCCAAAACCCCTCTTTAGAAAATCTCGCAGTGCTTTTCCCTACTATTCCCCTCCTGTGTGCTTTTTTATGACTTACTAATACGCCACCTTCTCTAGCAATGGAAGCATCCTAACTTACCAGTACCATAGAATAATGAAAAAAGACCTTGCCCTTCTAACCTCTTTGAATCCCACTATCTTCTCCACAAGTACAGCACTCCAACAGGAAATAAATCATAAATTAGGTAAGAATTAAGAAAACAAGAAATGTTAGAGGATACCCCCGTCTCATTTCATCCTGACAATAAATTTTTAGACTAAATCCGTAATAGGAAACCTCCATGCCAGAAAAAAAGAAGCTCTAAGAAGTTCTCTGAATGCAACTATTCGTGCCAAGAAGCAACTACACCAAATTAACTGCATTTTGCTTCCCCCAACCAAACCAGACACAGATGAGGGCATATACAAACAGAATAAATCTCCCTTCTTACATAATAATTAGAAAAGCCTTTCTTCTCTTCAATATCTGCAATGTTAGCTGAAACAGGTACATCATCTGGAAGCTGGTCAAAATCACTGTGAAGCAAGAGCAAAATATTCAGGTTACTCATACTGGCATTAGCCTCTGGAGGTCTCTATGCCATACAGAACAAAGATAGAATAAAATCATAGAATCACAGAATCATAGAATAGAATCATAGAATAGTCAGGGTTGAAAGGACCTTAAGATCATCTAGTTCCAACCCCCCTGCCATGGGCAGGGACACCTCACCCTGGACCATGTTGCCCAAGGCTCAACCTAGCCTGAACACTACCAGGGATGGAGCATGTACCACTTCTCTGGGCAACCCGTTCCAGTGCCTCACCACCCTCACAGTGAAGAACTTCTTCCTTTTATCTAACCTAAACTTCCCCTGTTTAACTTTGAACTCATTGCCCCTTGTTCTATCACTACAGTCCCTGATGAAGAGTCCGCTGCTATAAGGCAACATCACATTGTCTCGTGTCAAACCCAAGAAGTTAGAAACCCATAGTGTCATTCTCTTCCTGTGGAGGTCTGATCTTGACATGTCAGTTTCTGTACATTCAGCAGAAGTCACAGAACCACAGAATGGTTTGGGTTGGAAGGGACATTAAAGATCATCTAGTTCCAACCCCCTGTCATGGGGAGGGACAACTTCCACTAGACCATGTTGCTCACAGCCCCACCCAAACTTCAGGTTGTCCAGTGGCCACTGTGAAGATTCATCAAGCACGAAAAGCATCCCTATTGTTCCTAGGCTTGCTGGAGTAGCAGGACTACAAAAGAAGTATTAGAGCCAGTAAGATTTTCCTGAGAAATGTGATCAGCTGTGGATGCATTCTTAATCATTCCTATAACATCTAGTAGACTTAGAATAATAACTCTGCAGCAGTATCTCTTATTCTACAGAGACGATTATATCCATGATTTATACTGTTATTATTACTGCAGGAAATATGAAACAGTTCTGAGAAAAGAGCTTGTTGTGCTAGGTGCTGTAGAAACTGACAGCACAAAGTTAATTCCTAAAAACCTTATACTCTGTGTGTAAGATACATGCAACATATACATACAAGAAACAACAGAAGGATAGCACAAACAGAAAAAAAACCAAAGAAACAGAGACATAGTATTGTTCTATATCATAACTAATGTTGCCTGCATCAACTGTCAAAATGTCAAGTTTTCTTTCAAACATCCCAGCAAAGTAGACTCTTAAAGAGGCTTTGAAAAAAGAACAGGTAGCCTAGCAAATATTTACAGGGGGACTTCCCAGTCACAACAGATAACCTGAAGCAAGCACAAAGATACTTGTTTGAAAATGTCAAAAATGTGTGAAAGAACACATGATAGGTTAGAATAAGCTTTGCAAATTCTAGAAAGTATTGGATTTGAAGCAGTTCCCTGCAGGAACACCTAAGAGCAGCCATACGACCACACTTTCATGTTTCTTGTCCATATTGTCCACACAACAAAACAGCATGGATTTTCCTCTGGGACCTTCCCCTTGGTACAATATTTTTGACAAATAGAAAACAAATTCACCTCTGTTTCAACCTTAAAACTCAATGTTGTTAGAGTGGTTTTTGTATTGACACTTAAATAAAAAGGATTAAGAACAAGGACAAAAGATAATAAATGAGGTAGAGAGAAAGAGAAATTTTTAAAAGGGTCATCTAAAAAATGCCAAGTTGACATAAAGTTAAATATTCTGATAATACAAAAAATATGGCGGTTGGCTCGGTTTATTCTGCTAGGAGAATATCCCAAGCAGGGGCTTCCACACTGTGCAGCCTGTCTGGAAGGCTGAGGTAATGATGCAAAGTCTTGCAGTAGTTTGCTGTACGGGCAAAATGACATGAATTGGCACCACCCACAACACCATAAATACTACCACTTACTGTGAAGAGGGATGTGGTTATGGAGATCAAGAGATATAATTAGTCATATCACAAACATTTATATCACAAACCCCAGTAAAAGAGAAACTGTTTACAGCTATAAAGAGGACAATGACCCACTACTATCCTATATGGTGAATATTCCCCGTGAAAAGAAAGTCAATTCCAACTTGAGAAAATGTCTGCTCTACACTGAACAGACTAAGAGTGTGGAAGCTACGATAACAAGAAGTCTTTTAGAAGTGTCAAAGGAACTTGCATACAAATTAAATGAACAGATCGTAGCTGTTACATGGAGGCTTGTGGGGAGGCGGAAGGACGGAGAGACATATTACCTCTTCTCTCTCAGTTGTCGGGGAAGAGACATGGTTTTCAGCTTCTTAAATCCAGATGGCTAAGCCCTGTTCCTCCACTTCCTCAGCAGTTCTTGGTTTAACAGGATGAACACAGTCAAAGAAAATCTCCTTTTGTGAATCAGGCCACTGCAAGGCCTTAGAGATCTTTTATTAAAGTTTCAGTGTCAGACGATTTCTTACGTACTTCCCCACCCCTACGAGATTGAGGAAGTACGAGAGAAAAAACAGTTACAAAGACTGTTCTGTGATGCCTGTCATGTATCGAAACTGCCACGGTTGGGAAACCAAAAGCCCAACAAAAAGCAGAAACTATGAGCCACATATTCCATTGTCCACTTCTTCACCAAAACATTTGCCTCTATGGAAAGCCAATATGAGTGGGCTCAACCAATTCTGTTTTACCCCAGCTAAAATGTACCCATATACACCTCTACCCTAATATTTGCAAACTGGGATGAATGCTTCTGGTTTAATGATGGACTTGGCAGTCCTGGGATAAAGGTTGGACTTGATGATCTTAAAGGTCTTTTCCAACCTAGTTGAGCCTATGATTCTATGATCCCTTCTTAAGGCTATGTGATTCCTGAGAATCCTCTTTTCCATGGACCAAGAGCCAGGAGGTGGAGCTAAAGAATAAATTTTCAAGCAGGAGCAGAAAGGAAATGCAACCTTGTCAAACACATAGGTACCAGGGTATCAGGCACAGGAGATTAGGAAATGAACTTTGAAGGATGGATCAATGCAAGTAAGACATGAGTCCTTGAAAGAGCAGTCATCTTTCCAGCTTTATGTGCTCTAAACAATTCACATTCCACCTACAAAGACAGAGTAATGGCTCGCCCAAAGACAATCCTGACTGCCCTGCTTTGTACACAAAGGGCAGTGATACAGCATTTGTATAACATCAGCTGACAGTCTTTCAAGAAGAAAATAAAAGGAAGACAGTGATGACAAACCATCATCTCCTTGCACTGCAGACAGGTTGCAGCATAGCCTATCTGCCTTAGTCAAAATCTGTTAATGGAGTACCTTTGTCTCTCCATTTCAGTATTTAACCCTCTTTCATTTTCATGTTCAATACATATTTGGTTCCCTCACTGCCTTCTGCTGTCTAGTGCAAAAATTCTCATCTGAATGGAGCAGAAGCTAACTAGCATCCTTCAAAATAAAACTCTATTTACAACTGTAATCCTCACCCTTGAGGGTAGGCTGCATTTCGCTGCATTTTAATGAAGTAAATTCTTCACCCATGTCTTTCCTGTGTATAACGGAAGGCACCATCATAGAATTTGAGAGGGGATATAGAGTCTTTTGATCAGAAGGGAAAAGGAGAAGCTTCTGAACTTTATTTTCTGAGTGATCTGCTACTCTGTGCTGCCCACACAGTCTTAACAGTGGAGTTTTAAGTGGATGTATTGGATGTATTTCCCCAGACCTTCTCACTCTGCTGTGCATTCCATGTTCTTGATTAGGCCTGCTAAATGTGCAGTCCTCATGTGACCTAAAGTCAGCTCATTATTCTTTCCTTTGCACTGAGAGAGACAATAAACAAGTTTTCCAATGCAATCCTCTCACTTTCTCCTAACATTCAGAAGGTAATAGGAGCAGATCACCTTGACCAGAACTCTTAATCACAAGATCAATATATATGAACTCATGAAAATTCAGAGGGGCCCTCCTGACACATGCAAAAAAGATTTTGGAAAGTACAAGAAATGGGCAAACTTTAACAGAAGTGAAAGAGAAAGGCCAGAGGGGTGCTTTTAAGGTAACTGTTTATATTTCATGCATATCATAGTTTTGACAAGGAAATCATAAGAAGGATATTGTAATCTTTTCAAATCTCCTGGAGGATAACCTAGATACAATGCAGGTACTTCTTTTAAGAGACAGAGGATATGACACGATGCAAAAACGTTTGCTCATTGTTTACCTGGAGACATGGCTTTTCAAGAACAAGTTGACAAACAACGTCACAGACAAATTCTCTATGCAATTGTTTTGCTGTAAACCAAGTAAAACAAATTGAAAGCAGTTCCTCAATTCCACTACTCTCTACTAGAGAATATTGCCAGTAATAATATTAATGTGCCAGAATAATGCTAACCCTGCTAAAGTTTAGACACTTCTAGAAAATTAGAGATTTGGCTAGACAGGGCGCTGGGGCATTTAGTTTAAGTCATGCTTTGCCTAGAAAGGTTGGGACAGATGATCCTTGAGATCCCTTCCAACCTGATATTCTATGATTCTAAGGGAGTTTCTGATTCTGCAATATTTTCTTGCTCTGAATTAAACCAAAAACATGACTTTCCTTCCTGACAAAAAGGTAGATTCCTACCTCAGAATAGTGGATAGTTGATTGGTGAGAGGGCTCACCAAGGCTGCGAGAGACTGAGATTTAAAACACTACATTGCCATGTTCCTCTGTGTGGGCTGAGGAAATGTCCTGAATTTAGTCAAACCCACATTCTCTCACTGCTCAAATAACTACTTTATTACAGATGAATGAAATAAATGTCTGTTACAAAATTGGTATGATGACAGTACCCATGTCAAGAGATATGTCTGCATTAGGAAAGTATCCCTTTTCATCAGATGACAAGGTCAGTTCTCAGTTTTGAGAAAACCCACCCATACACCATGGGTAGCATGGTCATTATGGCACTATGCACCAATCCTTTTCCATGAGCAAGAGAAAGCAGGCATCCAGGTGCGAGAAATACTAACAAATTAATTAATTAAAGGAGACTACTCAGAAAATCCTCAGATGATTGAATAATGACCATATGTTGACACCATTGCATACCTTTTTGCAGTTCACTGCCTACTGTATTATTTTGGCCGTGTATGCCTGTGGGCTGTGAAATTGTGGCCTTCCGTCTAATGTGCACATTGTTAGAAAATACTTGTACAAGGATGTATAGCACCTTCGAAATCTGAAAGTATCAGCTATAACCAAACAGCCAGAGCAAGCATGGAATTTTAATGAGAAAATGGGAATGTAGTCCCAAATCACTAAAACAACATGAACCACTAATAAAAGTTAAATCAAAGGAACACAGCGAAAATACTCAGCTGAATCAATTCTGATGACAGCACTACACACCATGCTTACTAGGGCAGCAGCTGCTGTATTGTTTTGGCTGTGCACGTCTGCACTCTCTAGAATAATGGCTTCTCTCTGATGCACCTGATGTTAGAAAAATGCTGCATAGTTATGTTCAACCACCAGCCATAGAATAGATGTACGAAGTGACAGGAAAAAGTGAAGAAGAATAATACTCTTAAAAGGTGTCTGGTCTCATCACAGGTTAATCTGTAAAGGAACATGGTTTTAATAATCACTGAAAGGAAGCTGAACATCACATAGAAACATATACAGCAGAACTGGCTTGCAAGATACTTTCATTCAACCTACTGTTTTCAAAGGATATATGGAATACTTGTTTCTGTAGCATATACATCATTAACACTTGAGTGTCTTGTGATTGCTTGAGACTGCAACTGATAACGCTGATTTGGGAAAAGTGATATGGGGCTATATTCCATTTTCCATTCATATTACATACTTGTACAGATTGTGCTTTTATGGCTACCATCAGCTTTATATAATGCTTTAACACACTTTTACAGTATTTACGTTCAAATACAGTCATGTTTAAACTCCTTATCATTATTATAAGAGCACATGAATAATAAATTACAGCTCTTTAAAATTTTTGGACAAAAGTTACCTAAAATAAGCTACTCATGTCTGCCCTGTAATCTCTGGGGTTCTTTTGCAGGTAGTGCTACAAAATCCTTAGAAGGCACCTGGTCCAGTGGTAAGCAATGAGATCCTCTTTCTTCAATATATGCTTTCCATACAGCTGAAAACAAGCCTATCCTTCCCCTCCCAAAAAAAAAGGCTCAAGATAATGGCTCAGTCCATATTGGCTGAATGCATGGATACTCTCCCTGTCACGCATTGTGTTGGGAGGGAAAAAAACCCACAGTATAGATAAACAGAACATGGGGCTTTTGCTTTGATTTCAATCTGGACACAGTTTCTGTGACTGGTTGTTTAGGATGAAAAGTAACTAGTAGGCATTTGCAGAAGAGGACTCTGATCATGTCCTGCTGATGTAAACAAAACTAAACAATCCATCGTGAACTAAAGAAATTTAAAGGTCAGCATCTACCACTGTTCCTGACAGTGAAACTGATGGTGTCATTTCTAGAATAAATTGCTACTCAAAATGAATCGTCTTTACAGAACCAAATGTTGAAGAAACAGCAGCTCTTTTTGCTTAATGGCATTCAACAGTATCACCCTGTGTTTTGTTAGTTCATGATGCCATCGCCAGAACTCACAAGCTTTCCTTCTACGGAGCAATATCACAAGCAGTATTATGATCATCTTCTCCATGGAAAACAATTCTTCCTTTACAATAAACCTGCTTCCTTTAAAAATCTTTTAAAAAAGAAACAAGATTTCTCTCTGATACAGTAAGATCACTTAAGATTGGAAGAGTTAGGGGAAGTCTTACCAGTATAGCAGTAACTTCTCGATGAGCAATGGGACTTTCCGTTCTTGCAGAGCTCAGATGGATATTGGTGCCCAAGACTAAGCTAAGTGAGAAAAATGGAAGCTCAGAAACAGCGACAGAACATTTCTTCATCCAGATAGCACTTAATTTCCAGAATGAAAGAGGCAAACAGGGAACAAATAAGGCAGAACTTGATGCTGCTACTGTGTATGACAGATGAGGGCTGGAGGTGGACCCGTATGTCAAAATCTGGTAAGTGGCTGTTGCAGACAAACAAGTAGGATAGCTCCATCTAAGAACTCCTGTGAGACCTATGCCAACAACTATGCCTCCAGAAGCTATATACTTCCATTTTAAATGCATAGCAGCAGTGACCCTTTGTGGCGGGAGAGTCTCTTTGTTTTAGTCTTCTGACCATCTTGAGACACAAAAATATGACACAGTTATTGCTATTCAAGACAAAGAAAATTCTGCTTCATCTGTTTCACAGGTTTGAAAGACATACCAAAATTACTTAAAAAAATAAAAAAATAGCTTAACTTCCCCAAATCTCAGAATAGTGTTGGGATTTGCTAAAATCTGTGGGGTGGTACATTCAAACCATCCTACACTGTTCCTAATAGCTTAATTTCCCCATCCATTTGATGAAATCCTGGCACCA